CCGATTCTACCAGATACATCAGCGCACACTACATCCTGTTCTTCCGGTCTGCACAAAGGCTGAGTGCGTGAAGTTCAAGGCCATGATTAACAAGATGATATACAGGCTGCGAAGTGCAGTGGAAAAGCCTTCTGCTTCTCATGAGGTGTACAAGGATATTGACTGGGACATATTTACCAAGGATTGGAACGAAGATGTCAACAATCAAGACATTGGGCAAGCAGAGCCCATCACCCATTTCGACAGACGCATTTATTACAAGATTCCACAACAACTCGAGCGACATCACAAGAAAGCACTGCAATGGACTACCACACAAGCAGTGCTCATGGACGGTGCCAATGCCGAGGCTTTGAAGCCTTGGATGGATATGGCCTCTGGTCCCACTCATGCTCGGGCATCTGTCCCCCCAGCTGTCGAGATTGACACATCCGTTTATTTCAAAAGTATGGTCAAATTTGATTCTGTATGATATCAGTCATTAATTACTCTCCCAGATGTTCCAGGCATCGGAATGGACACCACATCTTTCAATTCAATGGCGCTCAAGGACAAGCCAGGCCAGTCCCAGTCAGATGCAGTATACCTCCCTTCCTTTGATTTGGCTCCAGAAAGAGGGAACGAGGGTGATATGATTGTCGTAGACAATTCCCCTGCACCCCAACCTTTGCACCAGAACTCACAAGCATCTTCTGCAATGATGCAGAGTGTTCTTGTGGTCTCCAGTATAGGAACCTCCAATGTGAATACCACAATGCACCATGCAATCGGCATCCACCAGTCTTCACGGCCGGTCCCTCCGCAGAAGCCCAGGAAGCAATGTGTTGTTTGCCTCTGGTTTAACTGCCGGCAGAAAAACCAGTGCTCTGGTTCTGGTGGGCGGAAGAGGTGTGGCTGTGGACATGACCAGAGCGAGGTTCCCGCTCCCCCACACAGAATTTACCGGCCAGGGCCGAAGCACAGGGACAAAGAAATCAATTAAATTCATATACAATGTATACCATGTACAATATTTACAAGAAACTGATATTTGAGAGAGAAGAATGTAAGAATACAATTGAGTAGTGATTAGGTTGGGAATGAGAAGGAGTCTGTGCATTCTCGACAGTCGGCTGAGCATGCGGAGGACACTGTGCAATGTCAGATGCCGGTGATAGCACTACTGAACCTGTGTGTAGGTGATATTCCATGATAGTGAATAAAAAATTCATTCCTCTGAAGGCCACGCACCTTCCACAGCTGCAAATAGTGAAGGAGATTCACTTTCAAACAGTAAAACCTATCCCTACTCTTTGTATGTGATACGCCCGGCCCCTGTCAGTGCTGTAATACCATGGGAAAAAAAGATGACTACACTGTAACCGCTGTCAGTGCTGTAATGGCATGGGAAAAAGGCGTTGCCCGATTGGGCAACGCCGCCTCCTGGGTTGGCACATGAGCCGATATGTAGCCCTCTCTAAGGCTCCGAAGCACCTCTATCGGCATCCAAGACTCGTTGAATTCCTCCTCCGTCATTGCCCACTGTTCAGGTTTCACACTATTATCCATTACAATGTCTGTGATCTTCTTAATGACAATGTCTGCGTCCAAGTGGCGAAATATTCCCCATCCGCTAGAACTGTCTTGGAATTCCCCCCGAAGATCGTGCTGTTACGCAGGCAATAGATTGATGGAGGACGGATTTGAGTTTAGACGGACGCTGTTCAAAGGAAGGCGAAGAAATAGTGGGAAACAGAGGTTGACCTCGTTCCTGGACCTCGAGTGGCAATCAGGTTTCGATCCAATCTCATGACATTTGGGGGCGAGGTCGTGCGCCACATTTTAAGAAGAATGAGACTCCAGAGATAATCAAAAGACAAGGGGAAACACACAAACTTGAGCCTGCGAAGTTTTTGCACGTCAAGCGCGGTTTCTTTTCATGCACCTCCCGCAGAATTGATTCATGGGAACGCGTCGACGAAATCTCGCAGTAGTGAAGGGAATCCGCAGTAGCAGTAGTGGTCGACCGTTGAGTTGGGAGCACGCCGCGAACCGACGTTTCAGCCCAGTGAAGAATCCCTCAAGCGCAGCGTAAAACCGGAAAAAAAGGGAAATGGTGGTAGCAAAGAAGATCGTCGCATCAGCCACTTCAGTTCGGCAGCGCCCTATGATGGGTCGAATAATCCAAGAAAAAACATACAAGGGTGGATACGGGCGGAAACAAAATCTAGTGTTTGGGAATTTATCAGCATTCCGATGGACTGTCGAAGACCATTTATCAGCCATATATTCTCTTAGCTTCGATTTTCCGCCGAGCACCTGCCTAAGTTCGGAACATGAACTGCGGAGACAGCCGATGGGGTGAATAGGACGAAAATCAAAACGGTGGTCTCGGTGAGAAACGAGAAAGGAGCCTCATTCAGGCGGGACGATTAATCATTGCTTTGAAGGCATTGACAACAAGGTAGTCGAGTGCTTTCTCTAGCAGTGGCAAAGGGGCTAAAAATCCTGGCCATCCATTAAGGGGAATCGAAGCCCCCCGGCGGGCTTGGAATGGCAACAACCCAGGTTACCACTACCCCATGAATGCTGTAGTAGTACATTGTCGTCGGTGGGTCATCACTCTGGAAGCACATCCCAGACGAAGCAGCGGAAGTAAAAAGAAATGCATATAAAGAGGCGAAGAGAAGCTACAACGCGATACAAAGAACGGCTCACCCCACATCGCAGTCTTTCACCCTTTCCCGACTTCCTCTGTCCTTCTCGCGCTTACGTCTTTCCCTTGGTCTTGCAGCGCAGCCTGTAAAGAGTCTTGGCTGCTCGCATGACAGCTCCCTCGCGATAATGAGCTTGCTATGTCAGAGACAGGCGCAGCCAAGATCACCCGCACTGCTGGAGCGTAAGCCGGGATCAGATGAAGCCAGACGAAGGTCGATATTTACCTACCTCCTGTGCATGCGCACATATGCATCCCCACGCGGTACCCGCCGTTGTCCTCTCTCCGCTCCGTGCCGCGCTTGCTTGTTTGTGTCCTTCCGCTCCCCACCTCCGGCTGCCTCATCCGATTGCTCCTGCCCGTCCTTACTCAAATATCCCCCATTCCCATCCCTTCCGTCTACGGATCTGCGCTGCTCAAGCTTTCACTCGCTCGCACCCTTCCCCGCCTCCACCCGCGTCCGCGAGCGCCTGCGGTACGCGCCCCCTTCGACGGCAACCGCATACCCGCCCGCTCCGCCCCTCCTTCAAGATTGTGTTTGTCGCGCGAGGGAGAGGCGGGGGAGGCGTGTGGAATCCGCTTTCCACTCTTGGCTTGCTCAGCGCAGGGGAGAATGTGCAACGGAGGGAAGAAGAGGGAGGGGAGTATCGGAGGCAGGTGAGCGACAAGTACGGTACGGCGAGCACCGGCGTACGAGGCGGATGTCGAGGCCGATGCGGAGCCGGTAGACGAGTCGGGGGTGTGCAAGGCGGAGTTAGGGCGTGGTGCGTGGCGCGCTTCCGGGAGGCGGGCGAGCTGCAGGAGACTCGATGTGCGATGCGGATGAGCGGACCAGGACACGGGCGCAGGCGCTCTGGCTAGAGAAGGGGACGCAAAGAGCGGCGCATGCGCGGACGGGAGGTGATGCACATGCCCGCGGCGTCGAGTGCGCAGGGCTGCTGCTCCCTCCCTCTCCCTCGATCTTGTGGCGGGTCCGGGTGCGGGCGCAAGCGCGTTTCTCGATGGACGAAGCAAACAGAGCGTGTATATGGACGGGTGATGCACATGCCTGCGGTGTCGTGCGAGCCGGGTCCGCTGCCTCGAATTATCTTGCTTGGCTCGAGTCCGAGTGCGTGTGCGTGATGCGCTGTGGGCGGTGGGCGGCGTAGACTCAGTGTGCGAGCCGATGAACCTGGACGCGTGCGCAGGCGCGGGGGACAACGTGAGGAGAAAGAACACTGTGCGGAGCAGCAAGGCGCGCGCGATGCCCGTACCCATGCACACGCGCGGCACGGTGTCGAGCGGGACTGGGCCCGCCGCCTCTTCGGATCTGAGTCCGCAGGTCCCGGTCCTGCTTCAAGAGGTGACAGTGCCGCACTCCCGGATCGCAACGTCGGTGCTGGTGTGGGTGGGCAAGTCGGTGCTGGCGGTATCAATGCTGCGCGCGGGCTCTACTCCATCTGCAGCTGACGGGCGCAGGCGCGGGCGCGGTGAGGGCACGGGCACGGGCACGGGCACGGGCGCTCGCGCGGACAGCGTAAGTAGCGCGGGCGGGACAAGGTCGTCGGGAGGGCTCGCGCAAGGGAGGCGTGAGGTCGTTGGGAGCGCGCGAAAAAGAGTCGCAATGCCAACGGGTCGCGCTCGTGCTTGGACAGCTCATCGATCGTAATGTACCATCCCACCCAGTGCCGCTCATGCTTGAGCCTGTGAGGAGGCCGTGGCGAGTAAGCGAGTGTTTCGAGGAGAGAGGAGATGGAGACGAGGAGGACGTACCCAATACGCGCCGGCTGGCGTCATGGTGTCGTTGTAGTACCGATATGCGTGAAGCGGGTGTCGGCGGTGAGGACACCAGTTTTCTCCCTTTCGCGCCGCAGATCGATAGGGGAGATTGCGATGAGAGAACGATCCGAGTGACGGGCCGAGCCAGAGACTCAGAGTCAGGCACAGCACGCGCGGCACCTGCGGGGCCTACAAAATGCAGCTTCGTGCGCAGGCTCCGGTGGAATGCTCAGCCCGCGTACCAGAGCTACGAGGAAGGCGATGTACACAAGAGCCGCAACGTGAATGGCCAGCGGAGGTGCGCCCTCGTTTGCGATCGTGATTCGACGCCAAATCTCTGTACGATGAGGAGGGTTTTCTGGACATGGCATACGTGCGGTGGTGTATAAGTACCAAGCCTAGCAGCAAAAATGAGAAGTCGGACGAGCACAGGCAAAGCTCAGCATGCCAACTTCCCCGGGTTGTCCCCGGGCCGGATCAATATTCGATCAATGTTTGATTCGCAAGCCAGGCCGTAAATCCCACAAAAATATAGCAACTTTCGGAATGCATTAAGAGGGAATCGAACCCCCGGCGGGTCGATAGAGTTTCCACAGCAAAGTTCCATGGCAACGACCCAGGTTACCACTACCCCATTAATGCGCTGTTGCCAGTTCCACCATATCTTTCTTCACGATGTGTCGTCAGTGTTTGGTGAGTGTTGAAGTTCAAAATTCATCCGTACTGCAGGACGATCACCGAAAAGCTGTTCACATAAGTAAAATGACGTCGAAAAGGCCTCTCCAAAGCGGGATCTTACCCTTTAGGATTTACTCAATTTCGGACGAACTAATTGGATCTTTCACCACCTTAACAATGACATTTGCAATGATATTGTCACCGCTCCCAGGCAGATCTAGTATTATATGCCGCTGCATTGTGATTCGGTCATCTCGGAGCTATTCAAGTTCACTCTCAGAAGCCAGTGGAAAGCACATCCAATCAACAATCGCGTCCGCCAAGGGAGCTGCGAGATGACAAGGTGCTATAACAACCGAGGTACGAGGTTAAATTGTTATAGTGTCTGTTTATAAGAGACTAACAAGGTGCCGAAGACTTCAAGAAATCAACTAAGGAAACATTGGTGCCGAGATCTCGACCAAGTACACAAGGTACCTTCGGGTCCAATTCGGGTAGAACCTACCTCCAATCACTTCATCCGAGAACACAACGTTGGCGTAAAGGATCTCCGCGTACGGTCTTTCCATACTGGTGACGGAAAATATGAGGGAATGGATTAAGTACATTATGAAATTGATCTTACTGCGGGGCCAGCGACGAAGATGGTGAGCGGACAAGGACATGGTCGATGCAGCGCAGAAAAAAGTGCCAGTGTCACGTTCTCTTCCCATCGCGGTCAGGTGGTACGCGTTGTTCGCGTTGAGCGGTCAACTGGAGCCAGAACTTGTTTTACAATCAGATATTCACGCAATACCACTGCTGCTACATCTCGACACATTTCAAAAGCGCACCGAGGGTGAAGTACACATCGGGGATAGCTCGTCGCTTTCCTGGCGCAATGTCTTCTCCGCTGCAGATGACGCCGCGCCCGCCAGACGGGTGAGCGCACCACGTACAAGGGAGACCAAGGGATAGAGCCAATGCCAAAGTGCTAGGTTTGGAATGTGGTAAAATAATCCAGACAAGGAAAAGGAGAATGGATGGATGTACCTTGAGCGAGGGCATCATCTCGCGCTCCTCCTCGCGGTGAAGGAGGTTGTAGTGGTTCGGCATTGAAATGAACGGGGTGAGGTTGATAGCATAGTCTAGAAACCATTATCAGTGGGTCGACAGCTTTTCGAGGATCCGCCGGTAGCGTATTTTGCATAACATGAACTGCAAAATAGTGTTGTCGATTTATACGGAGTTTAGATGCTGCAGAACTCACACTGCGGCATGGCACGGGCTCATCCCAATATAACGAACGTATCCGGTTTTGACGACCTCATGCAGGGCCTCCATCTAACGGAAAGAAATGAGGAAAAGATGACGAGACATTAATTCCAACATCCACGGTTTCAGCAATTGGCGTTTGGTAATCAAACCCGTGGCCTTGAAATGTTGGTCAGGGCTCGGGACCACAATACTTAAGAAATTGATGAAGAACCGACTCTGCAGAAGATCGATGTAATCGAACTGAAGGCGCTTCAGGCTATCCTGCACCGAGGCTAAAATTCTTGTGCGATAGCCCATACTGGCTAACATAGCCCAGCGTGTCCGGACCGGCAAAGAACAGATCTAGAGGTTTAACGTCGAATGTTTTGCCGACGGGGTGGCGGACCTGCGTACTCGCATCACCGCTGTGTCGTCGTGTCACTAAAGGACTTACCTTGGTCATTACAGCGATTTCTTCACGCGGAAGCTGTAGTTTCTTGATTGCGTTTCCGAGGACTATTTCGCTCATTCCGTTCGAGTACACCTGGATGAGAGAATTAAGTGCTCGGGACAACGTTACGAGTTGGGATTGAGTTTGGCGTACATTAGCGGTGTCGAAGGTCTGAATCCCGGCCTCATAACTCAGGGGGTTAACATTTTAGCCTGAGAACAGAAAGGCAATGGTGAAGGTCACCTACGCGTATTTGATGTGCTTGATAGATTCCTCTTCGTCGAGTGTCCAGAGCCGCCATTCAGATGAGCGAAGACATGCATCTGAGGATAATCTGGGACACCTTGAGACCAGAGTTCCCGATTCATACCGGAGGGAGTGTTGAATTTATGCTCTGGTCAATATGTATGGCTGACCATATTTAACACAACGGCTTGGAGTTGCGGTGGAAGTAATTTGTCAGAATCGAGGCAGAATTAAGTGCGGTTCATGGATCGCCGGAGCCCTCATATAGCAGGATGCATTGTGTTTTGGCAGCGAGGAAAGCCGCATCGATGTTTCTGACGGCCAATTCGACTCCCCGAATTCTCTATTGACGAAAAGAGCCTGAAGAGAATGTTGATCCCTCGATCCACACAGGTAAGCGAGAATGACATCTTGCACATAGATCTGGGAGGTCGCACCGCAGGACACAACCAAAGATGGATGGGAGATGCGGAAGACTTCCGCAGAATATGAGAGTGGCAATGGTGAACGTTTGAGGCAAGGCGCCACCGGAACATTCCGAGACCCTGCCGATCGGCCGAGATCAAGCTACCTTCACTTCCCTGCAAAATAATTGGAGCTGCATGAATAAGATGAAAACCCACTTGCGGGGGCTAAATCCATCTGGATCTCTTCCCTCCGCCCCAACTCGCCAATTCGGGATGGTTGAAAAAAATGAATAAGTACTGCCGACGCCGTGGATGATGATCAGCCAAGCATGCAGCCAAGCGCTAATAAGTAATCCTGGCGGGCTGCAAAGGCCGGCTTCGCCAAAAATTGGGACCTGATCTGCAAATGGATGCGGCGCGCCTACCCCTTAGATCATCTTGGTATGTAGATCCGATGCTCCCTAGTTCATCGGTTCAGAAACATTCCGAGGTCTTTTCACACCCGTTACTAATACTAGCACACGTAGAGCCAGGCCCACAGTCAGAAAGTCGCGCCAGGCACGCTTACCAGTGAGTCGCCTCGGTTCCATGCATCTTTCGAAATTTCATGGCAAAATGAAACCGTCTGTGGGAGCTACTGCGCATTTCCCGGCTATTGTCTCGATGACAACGAACTTTTCGGAAACCACGAGGGATGCAAGGGGATGCAGGACGCCTATAGCTACTTAAAAGCCTGCTACCACAAAACAATTCGTCGCCACAAATGATGCGTATCACACTCTTTTCTCTCTCTGTTTTAGGCGCCAGCGCATACGTCTGGCCATCCCCGAAGCTAGACGCTCTCGAATCTCTGCGGTTCAACCAGGATGGTCATAACTCAGGCGCGATTACAGTTTTCATCGAACCCTGCGGCCGGTATCTGTTCGACGGGCCCAACGTTCTCAACAGCAAAACCGGACGTTCTGATGTAGCCGACTGGGTTCGCACAGCGTACCATGATATGGCGACACACAACGTCGCAGACGGCACAGGAGGCCTGGACGCCTCCATCCGTTTTGCGGAAGAAAGTTTGCGCGCCGAGGTAGGTGCACCGCACTGATTTCTGGGCTAGTCTCTTATAAACAGACGCTATAACTTGTAACCTCGTACCTATTTCTGGGCTTGGTTCTGACGCCCCATCTGCACAGAATATCGGTGACGGGTTTAATAATACCTTTCAAGCACTTCGAACTATCGCTAACCGATATGTCAGCTGTAGGTCCACAGCATTTACGGTACTGCACAGTGTCTAATCATCGCAGTGGCCGACAGTCTCGCACTGGGCACAATCGTCGCGATTGAGAATTGGTAATTCTGTCTTCATTTTCATTACATCAGCTGGTTTTAATTGGTTTGACAGTGGAGGACCCGAAATTGCCTTCCGTGGGGGACGCGTGGATGCTACGGAGCCGAACGCCCCTGGTGTGCCCGAACCCCAGCAGGACTTGGATTCACATATAGCGGCCTTCGCTCGCCAGGGATTTACTCAAACTGAGATGATCAGTCTCGTTGCATGCGGGTACGTATTTTACTTATTCAGACCCACAATTCTGAACCTAACGTCCGCAGGCACACCTTTGGTGGTGTGCAACATGCAGCGTTCCCGGATACCGTGCCTGAGATAAACGATCCCAACAATACCCAGTCGGCAGCACACTTTGACTCAACATTCACTCACTTTGACAATAACGTGTGAGATCGTACGCGCGTTTATTACTTCGTGCTGACCGCCCCACAGGGCAATCGAATATATGTCGGACACAACTCAAAATCCTCTCGTCGTTGGCTTGAACGACACGACCAACTCCGATAAGCGCATATTTGGCAGCGACGGGAACGTCACTATGAAATCGTGAGCCGTCCCATTTAGCTTGCGGGTTCAACAATGATCTTTGCGCAGGTTCGCCGACTCACCGGAGCTCTTTGTATCGACTTGCGCGGATCTAATCGCACGGATGCTGGATACCGTGCCGCGAGAGGTTGAACTCACGGAAATTATCACGCCGCTGCGGGTTAAGCCGCAGGGCATCGTCCTCAGCCTGGCTGGCGACACCCTCAAACTGTCCGGCGAAGTGCGGGTACGTGCCGGGATCCCTCCACCATCTGTACGTGCTGAATGCTTGCGCGTATGTAGCTGTGGAACACGACAGCGGACCCCCAACGCACGGTGCGCCTGCTCTGGGACGACCATCTCGGTGGCACAGGCAACGCGACGCTCACTGCGTCCGGTGTGTCCTCCGCCGTCGCCGGTCGCTACAACGCGTCGTGGTACACGTTCAGCCCCGACCCGACGAACCCCCCGGACGGCCTGGTCCTGTTGCTCAACGCCTCTGCGGGCATCACGAGCATGCGCTTCGTCGTGGATGGCACGCTGGAGGACCAAGGCGGCGTGGGATTTGCCGTGCAGGATGGCGTCGTCTACTCGGAGACATCGTGTTCGATTTCCCAAGCCTCGCCGTCCCCGTGGCGGATGGACGTTGCGGTGCGTATTTATTCGTCTTCGTTTGAGTATATTCAAACTCGGAATCAACTGAATCCTGATGCGGCATAGGTCCGCGACGGATTCAACCCAACGCGCGCGTTCC